GCCCCCCACCCCCACAGGTTCCTGTGGCAGGTGCAGTACTTCGTCTCCCAGGGCTTTTACGTGATCCTCGCCTTTGACAGCACCCGCGACCCAGAGCCCAACGTCGCCTCCCCGAAGCTCTTCACGCGCAACTGGCAGAACCTCTGGCGCACGCTCGCCGACCTGCCAAACTACAAGCTCATCAAAGGCCGGGTCCTCGCTGACCTGGCGAACGAGCCGAGCCGCTGGGGCTGCCTGTGGGACCGCAGCTGCAAGCTGACAAACGAGTCGGCGCCGACGTGCCTGCCTGGCGTCGAGCTGTACGCGGCGGCGGCGAGCGGGATCCACGCGGTCGACCCGGACGTGCCCGTGCTGATCGAGGGCATGGGGCAGGACATACAGCGCGGCAAATACAAGGAGTGCGCGCCCAACTACTACCCAGGTGAGGGGTGGGGGTATATATGATCGAGTGCTGGGCTCTGCGTTGGGGCTAGTCGGGGTACCCTGCAGGTATCGTTTCTTGTGGGAGGCGGTTGCAAAGCTGCTGTTTTCAGGTGTCAAAAGGCGGCAGATGAGCTGGATGTTGGGGCACAGTGCCCAGCTGATGCCGCTGATTGTGCACCGCAATTCAATCTGCCTGCGAGTGCTCAACACAACGCCGCGCCTGTAGGTGCCCTTTGTCCCTGCCTCCTCCCTCTCAATGGCTGTGCTCGCGCACCTGCCTTCACTCGCCCACGTGTTGCGACAAATGCATGAATGCACAGATGCATGTACACTCCTCCATCTCACCCTGGCCCCTCCATCCACCCGTCCGTCTGTCCTCACTTTGCCCCTCCCCAGGCATCATCTGGGGGGAGGGCTTCATCACCAACGGCCCCACCATCCAGCGCTACGGCATCAGCGATCCCAGCGGCATGTTTGCCTACGACGACTTCAAGCGCCTCGGGCCGTTCACCATCTCGAAGCCCGCGCTGCCAAACCAGGTGCGGAGAGCGGCAAAGGGCTGGACGCACCGACGCACGCGTACCTCCGCCCGACGAGGCGCGCCGGCTGCGAGCCCCTGGCGTTTTGCGCAGCCAAACGGCGCCGGACCAGCCGCAGCCTGCTACCTGCCAGCCAGCCAATTGTCCCGCCGAAACTTCACCCCGGCCTGGCAATGAGCAGCGCGCTCCATTTGGCCCGTCTTACTTTGGCCCTCCCCTCCTCTCGGATGAACCTCTCGCAGGTTGTCCTGTCGCCGCACGTCTACCCGCGCAGCATCACCGGCCAGCCGGCCGAGCTGGAAGCCGATGAGGCGCGGATCACCTGGAAGTGGGACATGTCGTGGGGCTGGAAGTCGACGGGGCAGGACCGCACGTCCTCTGTGAGATGCAGATCCGGAGGCTCGCTGCCGGGGTTTTGACGGGATGGATGCTTGTCGTGCAAGACAGCTGCCTGAGGGCGCGCGCTGCCCTTTCGGCTAAGCAGGCAGCTGACGCTGGGCAAGACGGCACGCTGCCTGTGCCATGAGATTGCTTGCCACTTGCCCTTTCCAGAACGGTTCAGCCAACGTCGGGCGATACCCCAGGCCATTACCCTGACCCGGGACTCACGCATGTCGCGGCACCGATCGGTTGCCCCCAGGGGGAGCCGCTGCGCGACATTGGGCTGATCGTGGGCGAGTTTGGGACGCAGGACCAAGGAGACAACAGCATCAACAACACGGGTGAGGCGGGCGCCCGGCGTCGTGTTGAGTGGGTCCGGGGAGCCTCCCTCTGCTGTGACTCCCTCCCTCCCAATGTCGCCCTTCCTCCTTGTCGCCCTTCCTCCTTGGCGGGCTTCCTGATATCGTCCTTCGTGCAAAGCGCGCAACCTTGGCTGTGCCCAGGCAGCATGATTGCATGGAAGCACCACTCCAACCGGAGCCCCTGCCACACGCTAGCGCCTCCCCAGACGAGCCCCCGCCGCCCCTCGCCCCCTTCCCCCACAGACACCACCGTGTACGCGGCCCCTGACCGCCAGTTCCTGCGGCTGTTCAGCCGCTACCTGAACGCGCTGAG